ATATTGGAAGTTTCGGCCTTCGTGGGCCTTTGGCCACCTTTCCCTCCTCCTGAGACTGCAGACTAATCAATGTTGATGATATGCTTTGGGGCGTAAAATGCGAGTGCGGGTGCTATGTTCAGATGCTTTTACACGAGGGTCGTCTTGCTGGTTTGGGTTTGACGCCTCTGGATGATGAGACCCAGGCAGATGCGCAGAGGATAGACCTTGGCATGCTTCTAACTCTCACTCCAGAAAACTACGGTGAGCCGCATGCGCGGTATTTGCCGGCACCCTTTTCGAATTCTCGTTTCTGAGTGGTACATGTGAACGCTCTTAACACAACCGCTGCCTAATACACAAGATTTAACACTAAGCTTGTACGGGGTAGGTTTTAGCTTTCAGAATTACGGCCACGGTCCACACTAAGGGCTAAACTGGGGTCAGACACTTCCGTTCCTTGGTTTTGTCTCGCACTGTATGTGTCTGCCTCTCCCGGCATTCTTTTCCATGAGCGTGCGGAAGTTGGTCTCCGTGCGCAGCTCCGCTGGCCTTGGCTTCACTTCCTCAACCGCTGCCTAATACACAAGATTTAACACTAAGCTTGTACGGGGTAGGTTTTAGCTTTCAGAATTACGGCCACGGTCCGCACTAAGGGCTAAACTGGGGTCAGACACTTCCATTCCTTGGTTTCGTCTCGCACTGTATGTGTCTGCCTCTCCCGGCATTCTTTCCCATGAGCGTGCGGAAGTTGGTCTCCGTGCGCAGCTCCGCTGGCCTTGGCTTCACTTCCTTGGCACCGTTGTCCCCACGTGGCAATTCATCTCACGTCTCCTTACCACTCCTTTTTTCTCCATCCCGCGGGATTACTGCTTGCTGCATAGCTTTGGTGTGGTTTTTCGTTTCCTGTCTTTTTTCCGCCGCTTCCCTAGACTCTCTTGCAGTGCCGCTGAATTCTCTTGTCTCGTCGTTAGTCATCCAGCTGTGGGCGGCCCCCCAACAGTGTGAACCCACCTTGCTGTTCCTTGCTGAGATGCAGCATGTTTAGTTGTGTGATATGCAAGATGCCTTCATGCACTTAGGTGCATGCCAGTTTGTTTTCCTTCTGCTCTACTGGCACTTCCTCCCACTGCCTTTGCTTTCTCTTGAAAAGTAAATTGCCCAAGAATTGCCTGGTCTCGCGCACCTTGGTCGTGCCTGCTTACGTTATTCTGCCTTTATTCTGCCTTGTGTTTTTCTGCTTCTCTTCGACGTTCCTCTCTTATTATTTCCTGCTTCCCTCTCTTGCTATGCCCTGAAACTGTACAGAGCAGTGGCGTCACTGTTCTGGACCCCCGCAGCCTGTGCTGAGGCTCCCCTCAAGTAATCGTCATCCTAACAGTATGTCGAAGGCCCTGAACCCTGAATCGTGAACACTGGGCTTTGGCATAGCTTTCTGGCTTTAGAAAACCTATATATATATTTTGTTTTGCTAAAGGCCTAGCCTGTACAGCTGAGTAGGAGGTAGCCATTCCGTCTCGTTAATCACTGTCGGCTTAAATGTTTGCGATTTTCTCCGTAGGAGGCCGCTTATTGCCCCCCAGTGGAGTTTCGGATCGACTGAGTGGGTCTCTTTGGACCCTCGGCTAGGCTCGTCTCTGAGCAGCAACTCTATAGGGAGCGTCCTTAACCGTTGGTTGGCCTCTGGAGTAGTGCGTGCAGACCCGTAACCCTTTCATGTTGTAACCCTTCGTTGCTTCGTTGCTTGTCCATTTCTTCAGGGTCTCCTCTGTTCAAGATGCACCGGGAGTTGGCGCGACTGGGAAGCACCAGCAGCGAGGATTCCGTCTCCGAGTCGGAGACCGACCACAGCAGTAGCAACAACAGCAGTAACAGCGGCAGCACTAGTAGTAGTAATACAGTAGAGACTACCCAAACTACTGGCTAGTGTGCCTTTAAGCTTGGTTGTTTCTGCGGTGAACACTTTAAAGGTGTAGGTGGCACTTTTCGATCACAGTACTTTGTGTAGTGAACGCTTCACTACAAACACGGCGACACAACCGTGCCCGTTAGATATGTTCTGGATTCACGCGCACCGATTGTGGGGTGTGCATTTCCAATCTAGATCTCGGGATTTGATGCGGATATGGGGGGGAAAACTCCCTTGATGCAATTTCAGTAGGCAGAAAAGTGAGAGTATAAAAAATATGCAATGAGACCATGCAACCGCCTTAAGCGTGTTGAATTTACTGTAAGCCAAGAAGGCTTCAAATGTGAAGTTCAGCACGGTCAGCGTCGGCCTGAGTTGCCTCTATCCAGCCAGTGGCCGACGTCCACTTTTGAAGTGTTCACACATATCAATTGCCAATTGCTTTGCTCTCTAGGCAAATACTAAATAGCTCTTCGCTCGTCTGAATACTCTTGAGCCTGGAAGACGAGGGTTCGAAGATGCCGCAGTTCCGCGGGGCTTGCTGCATAGTTTAGTTTTCCCCCAACTAGAGTGATTATTCAGGCTGGAAGACATAAAGGTAACTCTAGTTTAGCGGCATTCTGCCTAACTTTGTGGCAGAAGTGTGAGTTGCCTGCAAAGGCGCAGCTTCACCTGATTCTCCCACCAGAAGTGGGCCAACGCGCGAGCATACTGGCCGTCGGGCCGATGTCACCGAACAGGAAAGTTATTTGGTAAGGTTGGGTCTATTGCTGAGAGGTGTGATTCAAAAGTTGTCATGCGGTGGTGAGGCATTGTATTCGGCGTGCTGCGCTTGTTTGTAAGGGCCTTTGAATGGGGTTTTGTGTAGTTACCTTCCTACATACCCTGTGTGAGCGCTGATACCCCGGCACCGTCACGGGACGTCCAGGAATGCGCCAGCGCGGCCCCATTCATTATTCATGATAATTGCGCTGCGATGATAGCACTCGGAAGGTGCATGAGAAACCATGCACGCCCTGGAGCGCTTATTAGGCGTGTAGGTAGCGCGCGAGGCACCCTGACTACTAAGCGGCGTACGTTCGACAATGGAGGCGCTCTACGGGGTCCCCAGATTCTTGACATGAATGTGGGGGTTTAAATGCCCTTAAAGCCTCTACAATAGTTTGCTCATATTGATGGTTAGCGACCTGCGGTCAGCCTATTCTCGTCACGCTAACGATCGAAATCCGGCGGTGTATTGCGTCGCCTAGGCGGCAGCAGGGCTTGCCCTCAACGAGACGCAAAGCCGCCCCAGCAGAGGGATATTAAGATGCTGCGGCAAGCGGATTTGGCATGATACGGCAGTACAGGGAAGGGTGAACAATGTTTTATGGTTGAGTTCGCGTGAGGAGGAGGGCTCACGGGGCTGTGTCGGCATGGGCGTTGCCCCACCGGCAACCACCGGTACGCCCTATACGCGAACGCATTCCCATGTAAATGCAGGTTTGAAATCAGCAAAATAATTAAAGTATCGAGTGGACGGTTATGACCATTCTACGGACCTGCGACCACGCAACACCTAATGCGGTTGAAATCCTGTTCGTAAGTGTACAACCCTGGAGAAAGAGAGTTTTGGGGTACTTCTCCCTGGGATCCCATTGGCGTCACGGACAGTTGCACATCTCTTTTGCCGCTCTGCAGATGCCCAAGGCTAAACTGCCTGTTGGTGGTGGGGCCCGGTGCACTGATAAAAACAAGGGAGGGCCTCCGAATCCAAATCTTTCTGGTGAGATTAACAAGCCTAGGGAACTGTTGCGTCGCCCACCTGGAGCAGTTGACAAGCACAGAATTTGTTCTCGCCCACCGACTCGCACAGACTGGAACTCGATTGGGTGGGGCGCGCTTCCATCGACCCACTGAGGAGAACAATGGTATGGTACAGGCTTTTAATGAGGGACTACGTTCAGTCTGTCTCCTTCGTTCTACCCTATTGAGAACACTGCCGGTCGGGAATTAATGCATGCAAGTTTACTAGTGTTCAAAGTGGCTACATAGGGCAACCAAGTGTTCAACAGTTATTTCTAGTGTTAGCGCAAGGAGAAAAATGGGCTTGAATATGAATGCAGGTGGGGTTTCCTTGTAGCAGCAGTTGCAGCATGGTGGGCTGCAAATCACTACAGGCCACCTGCTCTTTGGAGCTGTGCACAATGCATCGGGAGACTGGAGGGAAGGTCAGCTCTTGGGAGCTCTTAAGTATCTTGAGCCTATTGCAGCTCACGACGGTCCTCCGCTGAGGCCGAAGACCTTCGTTACAGTTGGTACCGCGTTATGGTTATGAGAAGCAGTCGCGAAGAGCAAGTTCCATCACTGCAACCGAGGGGCCTGGTGAAGGCCACTCCATAGTTGTGCAGGCGTTCTATGCAAAAAAAAGTTAAAAGTGTAAACAATCTCCCTGAAATCTTCCGCTATATTTCGGCCTTTTTTCCTCACGAAACGAGAGGGTTGGTGAGGATCTTTCCGTCTCCATGTAGGCAACTAAAAACTCGCCACCCCTCACTGGAACGACTCCGGTGTCATCATCCCATCCAGCCAAAAACGTTTTTACCAGG